TCTGGCTCGTCCAAGTCTAAATATTGACATTGCTCCTCGGTTGAGATGTTTGATACTGCTGAGGATAGAAACAACCCAGCTAACAGTAGGATCTAATATATTTTTACATAGTTGTGCCTTCCTTCCACTTCTTTTTTTAGAGAGGAGGTTGGATTCCCTTGTCTGCACACTTCCCCCTACCCCCACCCCACTGTTCTCCCCCAAAACTGAGCACACGGAGACAAGGTAAGGTGTTTTGCAAGCCCCTCACAGCGGCTCCTACTGTTGCCACAGCAACTCACAACAGACTCCCTAGACACTAGGTTGGGGGTGGGAAGAGCCAAACTGTGGGCTGACCAGTCAACTCCCGTGGAGGGGCAAGCGCCAAAGGGACGAGCGTATCCCCCCACCCCCTCCCGCCCCCCTTCAAGGCCTCCGGCTCCCTGCCACTGTCCTTCCAAGGAATATAGCCCTCTGGTCGGCGCAGCACCACCCCCTCCCTGGCGCAGCCACCCTGCTAAAGGTGCCTGTTGTTCATTTTCTCAGCTCCAAGTTAGGGGTGCGGCTGTGCGGGCGCTCCTAGAAATCTCTTCTGTTTGCCTCTGATGTGAGGGTTCCCGGCCTTGCGGAGAGGCGAGGGCGCCTCCTATGGCACTGGGTCCCACAACTCACTCTCGGGACGCTGCTGGCCGCGTGGCGCGGTCGCGGCCCCCACATGCCACCCGCTGGGGCCGGGACTGTGGGGGCTCCGCGGCGGCTCTTCCGAGAAGAAGTTTCATACCATAGCGCACTCACGACACAGAACCTACCCTGAAGTCAAGCGAGACGCGAGCTCTCTCCGCCTTCAAGGGCTGGGGGGAGCGGGAAGGGGGGGCCCCCGCCACTCAGCAGCAGCCACGACTGCGCGCGGTCGCGGGTGTGCGGGGCCCCTGAGCGCGGCGTGCCGCCTGCTGCCCAACTTTGCACAAAGGCAGCATGGCACTGCCTCGCCTGGCGGGCTCGCCCAGCGCCGCGGACGCTCTTTCCCGTACAGGGCGAGAGGGGCTCGCCCCTTTTCATCCCCCAGCCCTCCCCTTCTCCTCCTGCCCCCACCCCGCTCCCAGGCGGGCCAGCTCCGCGGAATAGAGCGCCCGGCACCGAGCTCCGCCGCGGTGGCGGCAGCCGCTCGCACTGTGACGTTAGCAGCCTTCGCGGCTATTTATATCCACACGATTGGATTTCATTCATGAAACCAGGGCCTGGTGTGTCTGTGCGCTGGGGCGCCGGTGGCGAAGGTGCCTCAGCTTTACGCATACCCGCGTGGCCCGGGCTGGGAGGCAGATGGTCCGGGAGAAACATGCACGGAACATCGGAGACCCCGGCCCTTCTCCCGAAGGGCTGGGAGGGTGGGGGCGGGTCAGGGCGATTTGTGTCTCAGCCACATCCCTAACATTCCACCCATCCCCGTACGACTGCTGGCCCTTTGTCCTCTGGAAAACTAAGTTGGGACACTAACCGGCTGGGCAGCATGGCTTTCTTCCCACTAGGAGCTGACCGGCCGCGGACTCCGAGGGAGGACATTGGCTTTTGTTTCAAAACCGAGCCCAGCTGCTGACTAAGGGCTATGCGTTAGCCCAGCCTCCTCCTCCCCTGGGCGGCTGCACGTGCTGGCTGGCTGCCCCTCTGAGTTCCCTTCTTCTGGGACTTGGCTCTTGGGACCCCCTTCAGGGGTCGTAAGGACGCACCGGCTGCCCTCCACCCGAATAAGGAGGCGATTTACAACCTCCTACAAATGGCTGAGTGAGGAAGTGAAATTGACTTCTGGCCGCTCATGGGTTGTCAGAATCCTTGCAAGCACCCTACAGTCCAGTTCTCCTCCTGAACTCTTCTCACTCTTCCAGGCCGACTGTGATAGGATGGGGTAGTTTTCATGATTCACATAACAAATACTTAGATGTATAACAAATGTCAGGTACCCACCCTGTCAAGTTCTAAGGAGGTGACAATGAACACAACCAAGCTGGCCCCAGCCCTCAAGGAGCCTTCAGTCGGCCTGCTAAAAGTAGTGTGCCTTAAACTCCTCACTGCCAGCCTATGAAGTGGCAACTGGGGAATAATGATATTGACGTGTTCAGCTACCTTAGGAATGTATTCATTCAATAAACCTTCATTGAGGAGGCTGTGTTCCAAGGGCTGGAGATGCGAAGATGGCAACAATGGGTCCTTAGTCCTCAGGGAGTGCTCAGGTAATAGGTTCTGCGGTATTGAAGGGCTGGGGAAAAGGGAGCCATATTGCATTGCTCCATATTTTATATCTCTTTGCCATATCCTTCAAGAAACAGAATATCGGAAAAAACCCTAAAAGCAAACAAACCTCTCTGTCCCTCAGTTTCTTCCAGGAAACCATCTTCAGTTTCCCAGATGGAATATTTACGTTCCCTTCCCAGGCTCCCGAGGTGTTTTAGTCCACTGGATAGTCCTATTCTTCCCCACAAGTTTATATTTCCTTTAGAGACAAAGGCTTGCCTGGTGCTCTCTGAATCCCCCAGAGACTCCAGAACATAGTGAAATTCAATGTTTTTACAAGGAAAGGTATTAAGGGCAACCTGCTTCGTTCAAGCCTTCCTCATTAAATTGTCTTTGGAAGTGGAGTTATCAGTCCCTAATCTTTGATTCCTGGAAGAGAAGATAGTAAAAAGTCAGGTACAGGCTCCACTCTAAGGACTTCCAGACAGATACATGAGGGGGTGATCATTTACTTGTCACAAAACTGACCTCCCTCACTCTATTTAAAAATGATGACGGTTTGAAAGGGTTAATCAATATACATGGTTTTCAGGAACACATTTCTTGGGGAAAGTTTATTAACCCTGTTCACTCCTAGCAATCAGTCCTCTTTATTGCAAGCTATTTCTTCTCAAACCACCCTGGGAGCTAACAAATAGGGTAGAAACGCAAAAGAAATGGGAATCAACATGTACTGCAGCTATCGTACATGGCAGGCAATGGGCTAGCAGGTTTAAAACATATTTCCTTAATCTTCACAACAACTGTTGGGGTAGATGCTATTATTAGCATAACGATTTTGTACGCGAGGCAACTGAGGCATGCAGAAGTAGTTTTCTGAGGTTCTGACAGTTGCATTTGCACCTGGATCACCCTGTGCCAAGGCTTTATTTTATCACTAACCTGCTTTTTGACATCCTGCTTTTCCTCAGTTTCTTTCATTTTCTCAGTTATAAATTTAAAAAAGTTAAGTGGCATGCTTAAGCAAGGCAGGTACTAGGGCCAGAAAGACACCTATACAAAGACCCCAGTTGGCATTTGGATGTTCCCCACCACCTCCAAGGGGCACTGAGGCTCAGATAGGCCTTCCTGGAATTGCCCAGCTGGATGCCTAAATCTGAGGGAAACTGACCACAGCTACTTTCAGGAAAAGAAATTGGTGTAAACAGTAATTTAGATATGGCAGAGGAAAAGTCACTGTTCTAGTAAGTCCTTCCGAACTAAGGCAGTGATCTGAGAAAGAGATTGCCACAATGGTGATGTGTAGCTCCCAAATTTTACATATGAAACCCCGGATTCTGGAAGAGTTGGAGAAACTGGCAAGGAGTACAGGCTCTGTTTTGCCAACAGGAAAGAAGAGAACAGGAACAACAGCAAATGATCTCCAGATCACTGCCATGAATTTATACCTGCTCTTGTTATTACCACAAAATAACTGACGTTTGTATGCTAAAATTGTTGCTTGCTAATAAACACAATACGGTTTGCTTTTAATAAATACAAAATTGGTATTTAGGCTTAATTAAACCAACACCGTTTGTTTAAACATTTTTAGGATTATATTATACAAAGGTGGGCATAAAAACTTTTGAGTAGCTTTAATGGTAAATATTTACCAAAGTCACAGGATTAAAAAAATTCCCATAATCAAGATAGAGAAATGTTTCATTAACACAAAAACACTTCATCACGCTACCTCTTTGTATTTGTATCCCCCCACCAACCATTAATCTGTCCTCCACCTCTAGAGTTTTGTTATTTTGAGACTTATATTAATGGAAACATACAATGTATAATGTTTTGAGATTGATTTTTTTTTTTTTTTTACTGAGCTTAATGCCCTTGAGGTTCATCCAGGATGTTGCATGTATCAGTAGTTCATTCCTTTTTATTGCTAAGTAAATTTCTATGGTACCAGGGGATGCCCATCCATTTACCCATTGAAGGACATATGAGTAATTTCCAGTATTTTGCTGTTACGAGTAACACTTCTGTAAACCTTTGTATACAGGTATTTGCGTGAGCATAAGTTTTTATTGCTTTGGGATGAATGCCCAAGAATGCAATTGCTGGGTCATATGCTAAGAAACTGTCAAACTATGTTCTAGAGTGGCTGTACCATTTTACATTCTCACCAGTAATGTAGGAGAGATTTAGTTTCTTTGCATTTTCACTGGCATTTAGTATTACAATTTTTTTTAAATTTCAGTTGTTCAATAGGTTTGTAGGGACAACTCATTGTGGTTTTAACTTGGATTTCTCTAAAGGTTAATGATGTTGCACATCTTTTCACGTGCTTTTTTTGCCATCCATATCTCTTTCCTAAAACATCTGCTCATGTCTTCGGCCTATTTTATAATTGGATTATTATTATTTTTTTAATATTGCGTTTTGGGAGTTTTTAAAAAAAATATATTCTATAGCATTTTCAAATTGCAGATTAACTACTACCTCAAGATAACTCTATTTTCAATTCAATCACTGTGGTTCAATCTTTCTGTTGTCATCAGTTTTATAGAGAATATTCTCAGGTAATTATGTAAAGCATACTCAAGCACTTACATAAAACTCCTGTAGATAGAGTCTTTTTGGTATTATTTTACAAACCTGTATTTCTGTGGTGAGTAATCGACACTCAAATAACAGCTAACACATGGCGGCAGACCCAGGAGTCGAGGCCGGGCCTATGCGCAGGCGCGGGCGTGGGCCCGGGCGCAGGCGCAGGCGCCTCCAGCAGCAGCCAGCGTTCTTGCGACTCCGCTCCTGCTGCAACACACTCCTGAGAGGAAGCCTGCTTTGTGCACCTCTTCCTTCTTGGATTCTGTCATTGGCTGTTCAGAGGATATTATCCTAGGTGGCGAGTTCAGGTGTTACAGAGAATTTCATGGACAGGGACTACTGGAGTTTGAAGACATGGAAGAGACTAAAAACCCACCCTTGCACCTATTTGTAAGAATAGACGTGTCTGGTAGCAAGATACTAAAAAACAGCTGTTGGAGCGGATTCTTGGACTTAACATGGCAGCTTTCACAACAGCCAACAACTTTAACGGTACTCTAAAGATGAAGTGGCTGGTGATACAGTCGACATGCTGGCTCACATTTTTGGGTTTTCTGGCTTTTCAAGGAACACTCCACCGCAGAGCAGAATAAGGCCTCTGGGCGCTGAACTTAAGCAGTGGTTTAGTGGCGACTTTTTTGTACAGATCATCTTGCATGCCAGCTTCCCAAGAGAACTGGGGCTCTAGCTCCCACTTCCACGCAGTGGTCTGGACAGCGCAGGTCCCTAAGGCTGGGTGCAGCTCGAGCCAGTGGTGACAGAAAGGTAAGACCGACCCTATTCTGGGGCTTCTCGTTTATGCTAAGTATTGAAGTATCAAAAAGAAAGTGACCTGACTTTACTGGGACCTCGGTTACTCCGGAAACACTTCCTTGTATTCAGGAACTCTAGCTCTTCTGCCAGAGTAGATACTTCTCTCAGGGGTCAGACTACTCTGGGCAGGAGGATGTCCAGCATTCCATCTGAGGCCCCTTCCCCAGCTTTCATGTGGTTTATATAGTAGCACATGGAATAACCTACTATCATGAACGCTTTCTGTTCCAAATACCACAGGGAGGCTTTGCATAAATTTGTGTTAATATGTCTTGCACCTTGGTAAGAGTGAAAAACCCTTCAGCCCAAGCGTCTCAGCTGTGTGGGGTTTTGACTACTTAGGAATTTATCTCAGGTGTTACTCAAACCAGCTCTTTGAGATCGCTGAAGCTCCTATTTTCTGTCCATTGTCCTGGGATAATCTGAATTATTCTTGGCTGTGGAATCAACTGACAGAGATGTTCTTTACCTAAAAACTAAAAGTGGAAATTCACTCCTAGTCTTGGATTTGTACTCTGGTAATCACTGTCAGTTCTGACGTAGTTTCTAGGAGAAGCTGTTTAAAAGAAATATTTAAAAGAATTTAACTTAAAGAATATATTTCAGTGGTGCTTATATGTATTTATAGATGAATACATGAATACTCAAGCTAATCTAATGGAGCCAATCCTAAAATGTCCATGATTATCCATTTAATGATAAAAGCATTTAAATACTGTGTGCTATTTGGCTGTTTGTTCTATGAAGGCAAAATGCTTTTTACATTGGAGTTCCTTTTTACTGGGCACCAATGGATATAGGCTATCAACTGGAAGTAGACAAATAGGTATCCTTTTCTTATAGCCTGTGAAATGTATTGGTACAGGTTTGCATAAAATCCTTTCTATATGGATCCATTCATTAGGTTTTCGGTTGGGGTGGGGAAAGTTTGGTAAAAATGTGCTTTTGCAAGCTCCACAATTCTAACTACATTCTTCTTCCTGTCAAAATCTCTCTTACCAAGATGGCATTCCACTGGTCTAGCTCAGCATGGGTAAAAGTGGCAAACAGCTTTTATGGTCATCCGTCTGGCTTTGTTTAGTATGGCATTACTAATTGGAAAGCATGTATGTCACAACAGTCTAATGCACAGTGTGCATCGTTGATTTTTTTAAAAGTAAAAATATGACTCTAAACTGGGAAAAAATCTGCATGTGAAAGGAAAATCTGTTTCACAAATAAGCTACATTCCTAATATTTACAAAATGCAAGACTTCAACTTCACCTAGTTAAAAATAGATGACAAGGGGTTGACCAAGTGGCGTGTTGGTTAAGAGCTGGCTTGGGATGTCAGCCAGCTCTGAGCAGCAGGGCTCCGGTTTGGAACCGACATGAGGGCCAGCGACACTGCCCTATACAGCTAAGATGGTGAACAACAGCTCGACCTGGAGCTGGGCTGTGGTGAGTTGCTGGTCATGGCTTAGGCTGCAGCCTCTCCTGCAGTGGGCTGCCATGAGCTACCGTGTGTAGCCGGCAGCCAGCGTGAGCGGCCAGTAGCTGGTGTGAGCTGCAAGAGCCGTCGTGAGCGGCCTTCCAGAGGCCAGTGACCGATCTGCCTCACCTGGGAAGAGCTTAATGATGATACCAACATGGGCCAGTGAAGCAACATCTTCCACAACTAGACTGAAGAACAAAAGGACAGCAACTTGTCTGTTCCCCTTCTCCAATTCCCCAATAAAATCTTTAAAAAAAAAGAAAAGAAATGACAAGATTTCTGTGTCACAGTGTGTTTAAGGCTAGCTCTCCTGCCCAAATGTCTCATATAAAAAACACAAAATTGTTTCACTCATGAAACAAGTGAAAAAAAAAATTGAGCATAGGGTATTGGAAAGCACAGGAAAATGGGGTTGCATTTTGGCCATCCCACTAACTAGCCATGCAATTCTGTGATAGATCCTTAATCCATAGCATCTCAAAGTTCCATATATAAAGTGAAGACAAGAATAATAACTTTGTAAAAAATTGTTAAGAGGACTAAATGAAATAATGTTTGTGGAAAATGTCTTGTGAAATGGGAAGCTCTATACACACTGGTAAATGTAAAAATGGACTCATTATGAGGCCATTTAAAAATACTGTGCATCATAAGGTATCATTTGATTTGGGAGTACCAAAGATCAATCATATAGGAGCTATATCATACCTACAACTCATCCCCCAAATGCTGACTGTAAGCATTATACATAATAGCCTCCATCAAATTCTGTCTATAAAAAAGTTTACTGTTTGAGATTTGAGGTTTTTGCTTTGCCAGTGACTTGCAATTTCTGCATTTTCTCCCACCTATAGAAGTGAGCTAAATTACATGCAGAAACTAGAAAAATAAATGGACTGCACTCACACACACACATACACACAGCCCATTTCAGAAAAATAATTACATCTATGTTCATATCATATTTTTCTGCTTACCAAACATCTCTAATATACACGTCACTTAACCTTCATGATTACCTTGAGAAATATCATCTCAGATATGAGGGATGGGGAAATGAAGTTTTCCAGAGGGTAAGTGACTTGCTCCCTGTTAGCAGAGGGGAACCCAGAATTCTACTTAACCCAGAATTCTACTCCTGATCTTCTGATCATGTGGAAGTAAATATTCTGAAGTAATTTAGTGCATAGTACACTAACTTTTGTGTACGTACACTTCAAAAGGAGTACAGATTTTTTTAGAAACTCCTGGCCTGGAAGGAGACCTACCAGTCCCCAGAAAACTCAATTGTAAGGCTTTTCCTTAATTGGCATCACTCCTTCTTTCATAATGGTTCCTTATCTAAAAGCACCGAGCACCTGACTCAAGAACATCTGATACAATGCACACAATTGTAGTCTCTCCTTAGCTGTATAAATATTTATATTTACCTTATTATTTCACATGACCTCTGAATTACCACTTGGTAAGCTCCCCTTTATGGACAAGTAGTTAACTGCATCACAAGTGAGTGATATAAGCAGTTAAAGACGTTAGATTAATATTGAAGGAACATAATCCCTTAGCTTGTAAGCGTTAGCTGATGACTTCTGGCATCAGGCACAAAATCTCACTTCCTAGCACAGCACCAGTCTTAGAAGAAACGGAACTTTTGGTGCAAGACATGGAAATGTCATTGTCTTTTCATCCCCACAGTGCCTTGAACAGCAGTATGGGCACGAAAGCCCATAGTAAATGGTTTCAATAATGGCAAATGATAAAACTTTTACAAGACACCTTGCTTATAACTTCTTCTAGTTGCTCATATATGTAGGCCATCTATGTGACTTAAAACAAAGCTGCAATTTTAAGGGAAAATGATGCTTCACGATTGTATTTGTTCCACTCTAATCGCTGCCAACATTACATTGACCATCTATGAAAAGGCACTTTGAGATCATGAAAATGTTTTGCAAAGATTAAAATGTAATAAACAGGTAAGGTACCTAGTGTGCATGGATCATAATCATAAACACCAAGATTCCCACCTGACTTAATCTGTTAAGTATACTGATAAGTAAGCACCCACAGTGTGTTGGGCAGGATGCTAAATGCTTTCACCCTCACAGTAACTCATCACAGTGACTTTATTAGAAAAAAGTGAGGAAACTGAGGACCAGAAAAGTCAAGTCATTTGCCAGAGCTCAAATATCTATTTAATATCTAAAAATACCTATTATTTGTAGGGAACTCCTCCACAGGGAAGGATTCTACTGTCATATAGTGAGCACTTCGTATTTACCATTCCTTACTCATTCAGTAATCCTGATTACAATGCATGTTATCACGTTGTGTAATTGGAAGACTGATGGCTTATGGCTCCTCTTAAATTCTGATATCAGGCTCAGTTAAAATACCTTAATACTTTATATTTCAGAAACCTCAGGTAGGTTAAAGGTCAAATAGAGTCGAAGAGAGCTCATTTTTATGAGATGACAACTTCAGGACTCTCAGATCCTTGACAAGCTGGTTAACTAATACCTGTGGGTCATTTGTCTCTGAGTGATATCACCTCACCACCACAATGTCACAGAAAACGAATAATCTATGGAAAAATGTACAATGCAATTTCTAACTCATTCCTTGATATTTCCTTAAGAAATTAAATTATTACTCCACTTCCTAATGAAACAAGTGGTATACTACAATGGTTTCACCTTGTGCCAGCAATGTCAGGTGGATAAGCTAAGAGGGGAAGGGTATGCGGAAAAAATTAGCCCATTGTAACAGGTGATGTGATTGTGAAGTGTGATGTAAATACACGTATATGGGTAAGGCAGGGTCTTAGGCTCCTAGTGAGAGTGTATCTTTCCCAGTTACTCAAGTAAAGAATATTCCTTGATGCTTAAAGATCCACATTTATCTAGAAGGGGACCAAGCTAGACACATAAGAACCCGCTAGTTCAAAAGGGATGCTTCTTTTTCATTCTTGGCCAATCCGGAAGCCATGTTGAAGACCCTGGGTCCCTCCTTTCTCTAAGTTCCAAGGCATCTGAAGGGGCAATGGTATTTGTGTGAGATGGATACTAAGCATGACACTGAATGAAAAGTTGTACCCAAGTGGCTTTTTCTTAGCAGTGTTCCATACTCCAATCCAAACAGTACCTATTTTTTAATAGTAAAGGCGATATAACATTTACTGTGAATATAAATGCTTCTTCCGTTTTCTATAAAAAGGAACCTATCACAACTGTTGATCTTGTGAGCAGTGCTGTTTGTCCTGTGTAATTATTGCTGGGCTTGATGTTTCTTCTTAACACATTTGAGGTGGCTAATGGATGAAAAACATATATATCCTGACGATAGTTTATAAATAGATGCACATAGGCATACAAAAGACTGTCTGGAATTCTCTTGAAACTTGTACTCTTGAATAGTATAAGGTAACTAAGACACTGGGAAACACTGAAGTTCCTTCTGAAGGTTAAAGGAAATATCA